TGTCTGTGTGTCTGTGTCTGTGTCTGTGTCTGTGTCTGTGTCTGTGTGTTCTCGCGCAATCCACGAATAGATACTTGGCATTTGTTTGCACAATTACATATCGACATTCCGTTGATATGTGAATCTTCATTTTCATGTTCATGTCGACCCCTGATCTTGTCTGGGCCCAACCCGTGCAGTGCAATTTTGCTGTGCAACATATGTGGCACAGTCGAGTCTTGGCGGTTGGGGTGGTAATCTGTGCAGGCCACAACTCCAGAAGATGCTTGAAATCAGCATGTTCTCCCATTCAACAGCTCGTTTCTCGTTTTCATTGGTGAAATGTGCCGTGTCCTACGTCATCTTTTGGACATTCTGAGAAGTTTTCAAGAAGCTGCCAATGTGGAATTGGCGAGTTTCGTGCACATGTTTCGCACACGCCATTGTTGACTGCACGAAACTTTGTGTCAAGATGCACTGGGGAATGGCATACTCTTCCTTTCCGGTGAAGCCGATCCTCTTGATAACCGTGCCAGGGCTCTTTGACCACGATGGTCTCGATGGGGACATTTCTATTGGAGGAGGGCAGTTGATGAGCTGCCCGCAGCTGGCGCGGAGCCTTGGCGCTTCAAGCAAGGGCCGACCTACGACCAAACTTTATGCCGCCAACCCGCAACCCAACTTTGAAGATGCGCCGCAGGTCGGGTAAACATTAGGTCCACAGTATCTGCGACAGCCACGCAGCCACGAACCGAAGTCACTGCGGCCCCAAGTCAAAGTGCCTGCGAGGCTCCGACAAGTAGCTTTGCTTTACGATGGGTTCAGCAGTGACGAAGCCGGTCTGGTTTTCTGAAGACTTCCTTTCGGGGTTTTTCTTCGGGGTTTTTCAGGATCGGCCAGCTTTTGATGAACCGGGGCGCTTGGCCGATGTCTTCGGCACCCGCTTGGCCGCTGGATTGGCTGCCCTGGGCCAGCAACAAGACCTCGGTGTTTCAGCTGGTCAGCAAGGACTTCATCCGGGAAATGACTCGGCCTTCCTTCCCACAGGCGCCACAGTTACGCATCTGCACATGTGCATTTACTAGTGAAGTTACCTGGGTATGCAGCATCACTTAAAGGTTCCCACTCTAGAGTCATCACTCCTCCCTTCCTCGAAGGTCGTGTCCACCTACGGCTTCCTCCTGTGGTTGAACCACGCCACATCCCCGGAGGACAGCAGCTGTTGCATGTGCACCTGCGGCGCGTGCGCCTTGGCCGCCTTGGCCATGCCGTTCCCTTCTCTGCAGATGATAGAGGTATAGAAGGCAGAAAGCAGAGCTCCCAGAGCGCCGAGGCTTCGGCGTTCCTGGGCCTCCGATCTTTGGCATCAACGAGGAGGCTTGGTTCGCCACGGGTTATCTCACGAGATACCTGATCATGCTGCCGGAGCCTCGGCCTCGAGGAGTCGGAGCTTTGTCTTCCGTAGGAAGGATGACAGCAGGGCCTTCCTACCTTCCCGCAAAAAAAACCCGCGAAAGATGCTTATGCTTCTGTACTTCGCAGCGACTCCGGAGACGGCAACTCCGCACTGGAAGCACGATCGAGCTGCAGGGTTTAGGTTCTAGGTTTCGCAGGCTGTTTCTGCTGTAAGCTTTGTACGTGGTGCTAGCAGTCCCTCAAGGCACAGCGCTGAAGAAACCGCCAGCCCCGGCAGATGTTGCGTGCCGCGTCGTAGCCTTGAGGAGCGCGATGCCTTTGTGGTCTCCTTGGGGATGGATTTGACGGGTTCTAGCTCCTGTGCAGTCACCTGGTCCTGGCTGCTTGGCTGGTGTTGCGAGGTTGGGCGGAATTGCAGGTAGGCTCGAAGTTCAGGCAAAAAAAGAAGAGGGATCTTGCTTTTCGCGCCCCACGGCTCCGAAGTTACTGGACAAGATGTTTCTGTGTTTGGCTGCCTGCCTGTTCGACTGAAGCTGAACTTAACGTCGTAACCCTGCCAGCTCCTGTGCTACGCATAGGATGTGCAGCCTGCCAGGTTTTCGATCACCTATGACGACTCCTTTGGAGCTCTCCTTCACTACCTGGTGCTGGAAGCTGCCTTGCCACTGCCTGCCTCCACGACCACCCTCACGAGCACCACACTGACCCGAACCTGGACCAGCACTACGAAGACCCTGACCACCTTCACCACCACCTCCGGAACCACGGTGCCTTGGTTTTTGATTGGAGAGCGTGAACCCGAAAGACAGCCACCGCGGAGACGCCCCAGTCCATGAAAGAACTCCAGGATCTCGTCAAGGTCGCTAAAGAGTTCTTGTCGCTCGCGAGCTTGGTCGGCAAAAATGCAAGACCTGGTGCAGGTTGTCCAGACCACCACCACCTCGCTCACTTCGGCGGGTGGCAACTGGCCCTGGGATTGGCTTCGGCCCACCACCAGCACCACCACCGCCGGATGGTGGCCGCTGGCTTTCTTCGACAGCGAGCGGCTTGACGATGGGAAGCGCTGTTTTGGAGAGATGGGTTTCGTTTGCATGAGCTAGAACTGTGGTTTTTGCCTCTACACCAATGCCAAGGTTCAAAGCAAACTCGACAACCACAACGACCACCTTCGATCTCTCGACTGTGATTTACAATCACGGGAGCCCTCGAAGAGTCAAGATTAAGAACTTGCTTTCTCAGTTCAGCTTCACATGTCAAGAAAGCCAGCGGTGGATTTCCGATCCTATCATTAACTGTCGCACTCTTGCAGGACCTTGTCCAAACCGGACCGGAAACCGTGGAGGAAGACACATCCTCATGCCGCAAAACGCTGTTTGAAATGCTGTGCCCAAGCTCCACCCAGCCCGAGCTCAGGACCAGATCCAACATATCTCATGTGCGCCGTTCGAAGCGCCACAAGAAGAAAGAGCATGAAGTGGACAAAGGACCCCCTTCCAGGCTTCCCGGGTTCGGATCATCGCTCGCTGATTTCACCTCTCCCCGGCGGCCTCCTTCACGGACAAACTCGCAATGAGATGCGCAGGATACATGGGCGGATCGTGCACTTGCAGCTGTCCGGTGGATCAAGACTTCGGGCGTTGCTGCCTGGTGCGCAAAAGTGGCCAGAATGCAGCTGTTTTGAAAAAACAGCGTGTCTGCACACCTCTGAACAAACACTGCGCGTGGTTTGTGATCGGGTTCCGTGTTATATGACGGCCATTCATCGCAGTCTGAAGTGACGACACACTGGTCTTCGCTGTTGTCACGGTGTTGGTGATGCTGACTCTCGCAGCAGCTGAGGCTACCCTCTGCCTGACGACATGGTATTCGGCAAATGGAGCCATGGACAGGCGGCAGCTGAATGGCTTAGGACATGATTCCGATTGAGGTAATTCGGTTTGGGCGTCCCTCCGCTGTTTATCCTCCGAGGATTCAACTGGCCCCAAGCTTAACCGATAATGAATGTCTGCCCTGATCTGACCTGACATCGGGTTCTTGCTTGTTCCCGCTGCCGTTCTTTGAGGAGGCCTGCGATGTCTTCAGCTCCGGGTACCTGCGGTTGGAGGGCTCCTGCCCGAACGTCGGCCTCCGGGACTGGTCAGCTCACCGGGCGAAGGGCCAACGATGAGTAGACGCAGGTCTAGGCAGCCTCTTTCCATAAGCACGGTCGAAAGACATTAAGACAGGGCTAGTCTACAACCGGAGCACTTTCAGTTGCCTGTTCTTATAAGAGTACTCTTGATCCGAGGTGTCGTGCAACCCTGCAAGAGTAATTCCTGGGCCATCGGTGGCGGCACGCACGACGTTTGTGGGCGGAGCTTCTGGACGGAGGTAGGGCTTGCATGGCAAGATTCCCCCTTGCATGGGCACTTCACCGGGTTGCCCACACGGCGAAGACGAGTGTAGTGAAGCTCATATTTGGATAAGCATATCATCAAAGCCCAGAAGCACTTGAGGGTCAGTCTGCACCGAAGTAGTATGCAGGAGCAAGTCAAGCACCCATAGTTGCTAAGAAGCCGCTTCTCTGCCAAACCAATCCGGAGCCCTACGCATTTGTTCTCGTCACTCAAGCTTTCACCGTGGGTTTCAACGATCTCCATGTTGCACATCGACAACCGTGAAGCATCATGGAAGCATCCGACGAGCAGGATATGGGTTTGAATTGCTCGCAACTCACTTTTTGCGACAGCAGCGACGGGCAGCCCATCTTTGTCGACACCCGCCGCCTCGCAACCTGCTCCTGCAACGTCGTGCGGTGGAAGTGCGACTATGACCTTCGTCCTGAAGAAGGATGAACCTAAATTTTGTTACGTTGACTGTTGTTAGTAGACTGGCATGGGACCGCATAAGTCAAACAGGCGCAGGTTTCGCCGAAAGCTGCAAGTCGCTCTCTCGAAACGGGCTCATTTAGCCAGCCGCCACCATCGATGCAGACATGAGTAGGGCCGTAACGACTGAGCATCAGAATTCAGAGCAAGAGAACTTCCAAGGATTACGAGGCCTGCGATGGCAACGACACCTACTACCCTCCTGGCTCCCCCGAGCTCGCCCAACGTTTGCTGCAGCACTGGTCCATATCGCAGCCTCATGCTAAAGGATCGTCCGCGCGCCCACGGCACATGGGATGTCAGACTTTGCTTCGAATTTCGAGGTTCTTTTCGTGTTGCACATGTGGTGAACGACTGTGTTTATCTTAGTTGCTAGCTTGATTCTCCATGATGAGGTGCCTCGATAATGCCGAGGCCGAACAAAATGATAACCCCGAGAGAATCCCAAAAGGTTAACCATAGCTGGGCGAGTAAGGGTATGCTCAGCTTCAGCGGACCAAGGGAGGTTGCAAAGCCCTCATGCCTGCGACCTGATTCGTTGGAGTTAGACACACACACCTTTGCTCCGCACACGGCATCGCCACCCAGTTGAGTTGAAAAGAAGCTGTGAATCTTGCGCATGCTTTCGCTGTCTTGATTGGCCATAGGAAGTGCGAGCCACGACTCGTGGCTGCTTTTCGGCCCGAAGTGGGCCCACTGAGCTTTGACCTTTTGCTGTGCGGGAAAACATGGAATGCGCCCCGCCTTGCTTTTGCTAAGTTGGCACCGGAGCCTGCTGATCGGGCGGCTTCGCCTTCCGCGACATGCCCCTCATTCCCCAGATCTTTAGGATCTCGGACGATGCTGAGGGCGACGAGGCACCGGACGGGGATGCTGGCGACCAGGAGGAACCACGAGGGCCAGGACCAGGACTTCGACCTGCACCAGGCCTTTCAGTGGAACCCGGCGGAGCGCGAAGCCCCCAGTACCAGGGACCTATGCTTTATGATGAATGGCGCTGCCTTAGGTGTGATGGCGACCAGTGGGTGCAGAACGTGTACGGCACCTGGCTGTGCCGAGGATGTGAGGGTACAGAAAACTACTCATGCCGGCGCCCACACAGGCTGGAGACGGACGAGGGAGTCTGGATGTTCATGCCACGGAGTTCTCCTGACAACGACCGCCCCGAACTTCGAGGTGAACCTGGTGGACCCACTCTGCCGGGGAGGCTCTCGAGACGACAGAGGCGACGACAACGACAGACGACAGCTCCTGGAGACGACCCCTCGGAACCCGGACAAGATGCGCCTTCGGAGTTTCCCGAGTCAGAAGCTCCGACCTACGATCCCACGGTGGACCCGGACACAGACGATGCCCCGCCGCGGCATCCTACGAGAAAGCCGCGCAGGACTACCTCGTGCCCGGCCACGCCACCGTCGACCGTCGACGTTCCCTACAAGGACCTCGCCTCCTCCTGCCGCAGCACCGTGGCAGCCAGCGCAGCCGAGGAACATGGACCACCCAGCCTCTTTGTACACCCCCGGCAGCGCTACCACATGGAAGTCGAGGATGGGACCAGAGCGTGGCGTGCGATGGCGTGGGGGGACACCTCCCAATCCACCTTCTTGGAAATACGACCCCCAGGATCCAAGAGCCTACTCCAAGTATGCTAAGAAGGTGGCCCTTTGGAGGATTCAGATAGCAAGCTATATGACACCCCGCGAGGCGGCACTCCTTCTCTACAACAGCTTGACCGGCGAGGCCGAGACGGAGCTCGAGCACGCCCCCATCGAGGCCATCAACACCGAAAAGGGGATAGACTATATCTTGGAGACGCTTCGCACCCCTATGGAGCAAAAGCTGGTCTTCCAGAAGCGCAAGTTCCTCAACGAGTACGAGAACATCCAGCGCCAGCCTGGGGAAGGCCTCCGGGCGTTCTCGAACCGCTATAGGCGGGCAGAGCGCAACCTCAAGGCCGTCGGAGTGGAGGTGGCGCAGATGTATGGCGACGACAGTCGGGGCAACCGCCTGTTGGAGCGTGCCCGTCTTGCACCCCAAGACCAGAGGCTGATCTTGGTCGGCAGCCGCTACTCTCTTGCCTTTGAAGACATTGCTGAGTCCATGCACATGCAGTACCCGGAGTTTCGTGCAGCCCCGCCGGTTTGTGGACGAGACGGAACCCCGATAGCCCGCAAAGGCGACGGCAAGGGCAAGGGCACCGCGGCTTCTGGATACAGCTCCTCTTCTTCGGGACAGCCGGGCGGCAAAGGCTATCATCCCAAAGGTGCCCCCAGGAGAGTTTATAAGACCGACCAGGTCGACGACGGCGCCCTGCAGGACATCCCGGAGGAGGAGACCGAGCACAACGAGGACGAGAACGACCAGGAGGCCGGGGACCAAGGACGACGAGGACCACGAGGAGCAGGACGAGGAGGCGGAGGACGACCCGATCTCCCAGGCAATGGACGTCCTCACCGTCACGGCCAAGAAGCTTAGCAGCCTGAAGCTGGGAAGGAAGTACAGTGGAAACCCCAAGGGCGGCAAGGGATCCGGCAAGAGCGGCTCCAAGGACATCGTCGCCCAGAAGCGCAACAGCCACCGCGCAGTTTGCGGGCAACTCGGCCACTAGAAGGGCGACCCAGAGTGCAGCGGAACACCGCCCCGGACGGCAGCAGCAAGCGAGACCACCAGCAAGCCCGGGAGAACAGACAACAAGGACAGAAAGGGCCCGCATCAGGCCTTCCTCGTCCGCGACTACGGCTCTTTGGAGATCACCGAGCAGGCGGCACCCTCCGGCTTCGGCACGGCCTTCTCCGTGAACGTTGTCTTTAAGATCAAGGCCGACCACCAGGCCGATTACCTCAAGGCACCGGACTTTGGGGAGCTCATGATCCTTGACACGGCGTGCCAGCGCACCTGTTGCGGGCAGCGTTGGCTGGAGGACTTCCGGTCTTCACTTGACCGCTCCGGCCTGCAGGTGGTGACCACTCCTTTTCGTGATGTGTTTCAGTTTGGTTCGGGCAAGCCCATTACGGCGGCGAACCGGTCTTACCTGCCAGTCGGCATCGGAGGGACAGACCTCCTCATCGGAGCCGGGGCCCTCAGTGCTGAAATACCTCTGCTCGCGTCGAATAGCCTTCTTGATGAACTCGGGATGGTGCTTGACATGCCCAACAATCAAGTCACTTTCGTCACCCTCAGTACCACGGTTCCCCTGCATAGGATCGATGGACACTTGACCGTCAGTATCAATCAGTTCAGCAAGGGCATTCAGTCATGGGAGAGGCTGCGTGGGAGTGTCGATTGGAATGATCCTCCTCCCGAGCTTGTGGTTCAAGGTGATACTGGAGCAGCGAACCCCGCCTTTGCCAAGCCGGCCCATGCCTGGGTTGACAAGCCAGCTCTCGACGCCCCCGCAATGGTTGCGAAAGTGGCGGCGCTTCGTGACCAACCTCCGCGACTTCCGGAAGAACTTCTTCATCATGCTGACCACGGGCGTGCGCATGGGGCTGGTGCCGATCGAGATCTACGAGACGGTTCCGCCGAAGCTGGACGTTCGCTATGCACACCCTCCGGGAAATTGCAAGCACCCCGACTATGTCCGGTACGGCAACGCCTACGGGAAGTTCGCTCGATGCAAGCAGTGCCTGAAGAGGTGGAGGTGGAACAACAATGCCAAGGTCTGGGAAGAGCACCCCGACAAGGACTTCGACACCAAGTTGCTCGATTCGCGACCTCCCTTGCCCTCTTCCTCCAATACTGTACCTCGGGCATCGGCGTCTTCGACAATGCCACCACGACCTTCGGGCAGGGCATCTCTGAGCGCGGCTTCTCCGAAGACCTTCTCGGCTCCACCCAGACGCGCTTCGCGGAGGGCACGGCCGTCGAGTGGCAGCGAGATGGAAGTGGACGCGTGGCGCCTCCTCCAGGACGAGACGGACCAGGACTACGACTGGGAACACGTCGACGACTGAGGGGCGACTGGGCAAGGTCAGCGCGAATACTGGAGAGCGAGATCGGCATCTACGACACCCAGCCGAGTACTTCAGAACGACCACCGCCAACCGTGGACATCCTTATCGTCTACGGCGACCACTATGACATCGGCAATGCGGCGGCCAACCTCCAGCTCTCCTCGACTACCCTTCCGGCATCGCTGACCAGGGCCCTTCCGGAACAGCCGGAAGCACGACACGAAGCACTACGAGCACTACGAAGGCTTAGGCCATACGTTCTTTATTTCTCCTTTGTGGACCGCCCTTTTGGCCGTCCCGATTGCGAGCTGATATCCGAGATGGTGTCAGTCCAGACCGAAGCAGGGCACGCCGCCATTGTGATCGGCGACGCGGACCCACGGATGCTTTCTCTAGGCGCCTCACTTGAGATGAACGCCTCTATGCTGCAGGTCGGCGGCGCCACGATGACATGCCTCACCACTATCCCAGGGGCTTCTGCACTTAGCCAGAGCGGCGGCCACGACTACGACCACAACCGCGACTACGGCACGGACGCGGACATCCTCAACAACGAGCGCGGCGACCGGGAGTATCACAACCACCCGGACACCATCCTCGGCGCGATCAAGGGCTTTGTGCAGAGCAAGGACAGCGCCCGGTTCGGCATGTACCAGGCATACGTGACCTACCGCAGCCCGGTTGCTCAACTGGAGCAGTGGGATGAGATCGCGGAGATGTTGAGCAGATCCTTTGGGGCTCCCGGGACCCGACCGTTCTATATCGACCCCTCCTCCGAGGTGGGCCGCAAAGTTTCCGAGCTCTTTCGCATGAGGCTCGAAAGGATACAGGCGGTCCAGACACCTTCACAACGGCGGCTCCCGCAAGATGTGCCATTCACCGCTCGTGGAGCCTTCCTCATCTACAACGACGGGACCAAGGCAGTGGAGACCGAGGACCTCAGCCTGGTCACTCACCCCAAACAAAGGTTCCCTAAGCCGGTGAGATGCGGCATCCTAGTCTACGGCCACCTTGTCCCGGAAGAGGTACAAGACCGGCCGACCGTGCCAGAGGCACCCGTGCCCGGCCTGCCGACTGACATCGCATTCCCCGAGCTCTCTCCTCAAGTACCTGTCGAGGTTCGCCGATCAATTGCTCGAGCACATATCAATTTGGGCCATCCGAGCGCAGAAGAACTCCTCAGGATGGCCGCCGTCTCAGGTACCCCGAGCAGCCAGTTCGTCGAGGCCATCAAGAAGCTTCGCTGCAGCACGTGTGAACGACTTAAAGGACCACAAGCCCCCAAGCCAGCAACGGCCACCGTCACTGCACTTCAGTTTGGTGACCGGGTCGAGGCGGACATCTTCTACATTCGCGACCTACAGGGGAGCAGCTGCATGGTTCTCGGCGCCGTCGACGTTGCCACCCGGTTCCACCAGGCAGCCCTGCTGAACAGCCGCGACCCTCAGGAAGCCTACGTGGCCCTCGACTCAATGTGGCTCAAGCCTTTCGGCCTCATGACGCAGATCGGCCTGGACCCAGACACGACCTTTCAGGGGGCATTCCAGGAAAGGCTTCGCTCCCACGGGGTTCAAGTGGACTACTGTCCAGCCGAGGCCCATTGGAAGATAGGCCACGTGGAACGGCAGAACGCGTTCCTTCGCACCGTGCTCGAGAAGCTGGTGGACACCTTCGCGGCTACTGGGCACGCCGACTTGCGACTTCTCTTGGCCCCTGCCCTTCATGCCTGTAACAGCATGATTCTCAGCCGGGGAAGGTCCGCCTACCAAGCTGTGTTCGGACGTGTCCCTCGACTACCCGGTGGCCTCTTCTCCGACGTCAACAGCATGGCCATGACGCCCACGGACGACCCGGCCGCGACAGCCGAGATCATCCGCTCCCAGGCCATGAAAACACTATACGACATGAACGTCCGCCAGAGCTTTCGACGAGCCCTTCTTCGGAAAACACACAACACGCAGGTTCCGCAGCTGGAGCCCGGCCAAGCTTGTTCTTTCTGGCGTTGGCGCAAGAAGGGCCTCAAGAAGCGAGGTGGCTGGGTCACGGCCCGGTTTCTTAGCTGGGACCCGGCTTCACCCGGAAAACTGGCCTGGGTGCGTTCTGGAACGACAACGGCAATGGTCGCGGTGGAGCAACTACGGGCCGCTACGGGCTACGAGGCATGGCTTCCTTCAGAGCCGGACGTGGCAGCCCTCAAAGACGCGGCCAGGAAGCTGGACGAAACAGTTTGGGCAGACGAGACTGGACCACCGGCTCCCGTCGAACACCAGCGGGACTCCAACGAGACCGTCGACCTCGACTACCTCGGCGACGGCGACGCTCAGCTGGCAGCGGCCTTGTCAGCAGCACCAACCGCATTGCCACCACAGCCAACCGGTTCCTTGACAGCGGCGCCCCCGGCCATTAACATGGACGTCGACAACACCGTCAACAACCTCGTTTACCAGCCCACCGTCCAGAACACCGTCGTCACCAACACCGCCAGGCTTGGAGACCCGACGCAGGGAGCACGACGAGGCGCCTCTGTACCAAGGACTCCTCGCGGACAGCCTGCGCCAAGGACACCCAGGAGCAGATCGCCGGCACCAGGTTCGGCCCTTAGAGCCAGCGAGCCTCAGCAAAGACAACAAGAACTACTTCCACAGTTACCACAAGGACTCCCAGAACCTCCGGTACCTGTACCAGCTCAAGAGCCTCAGCAAAGACCACAAGAACTGCCACAGTTACCAGAAGGACTCCCAGAACCTCCGGTACCTCCTGTTCCCCAGACTCCGTTGGAACCAGGTTGGGAGTCAGCGCCTTTCGGTTTGGACTCAGCAGCGTATGCCTCGGACATAGAACTTGATCCACCACAAGCGGACGAGAGTGAGACACCAGTTCCAGTTGCCAACGTCTCGCCTGCGCAGAGTTCACTTACTACACCAGGCGGAACGCCAGTGGAAGCAGCAACGCCAGCGCCAGGTGCAGTGTCCGGGAGCCAACACTCTGAGCGGCCTCCTACGACACCGATCTCCAGTGCGCCGACTACACAGGGAGGGGAAGCACCAAACTTGCTCCCAGCCAAGCGCCCTTTTGAGACTCTGGTCACCCTCTTTGCGGACGAGGGCGACCTCTACCACTGCACACCTGGCGAAGAACCGTGCGAAGGGTACGGACCACGACAAGAACGGTGCTACAAGGCCTACCTGAACTCCAAGCAACGCCTCGACGACGTCGCCCGGGACAACAAGGACCCCAAGGAGACCGACACCAGCGACAGCGACTGGGACGAGAAGCCGAAGGACAAGCAACAGCGCGGCATGACGCGCGCTGAGGCCAAAGCCTTGGACCGCGAGATCCCGTGGAGACAGATCCTCGAGATGGACCCCGAGGACATCCAGGCTTACGTCCAGGCGGTCGAGAAGGAGGCAAAGAGCTGGCAAGACTGGGGCTCAGTGAAGGCACTCAGCCACGCGGAGGCGCAGAAGGTGCTTCGTGACCAAGTGCTAAGCAAGCGCATCCTCCGGACACGCAGCTGCTTCCGCGACAAGAGCAAAGGCCTGGCAAAGCTTTCGGCAAAATGCCGAGTAGTTGCCCTCGGGCACATGGACCCAGACATCTACCGGCTCAACAGGGAGTGTGCCACGCCGAACCGGACCTCGGAACACGTCCTCTTCGTCGTCTTGACCGCCGGCAGCAACGGAGAGTTCGGCACCTCGAAGAAGCGGTGGCATGGATGGTCTGGAGATGCTTCTACAGCCTTTCTCCAAGGAGACTTGTCGGATGCAGAGAGGTCACTTCCGCTCTACATCCTGCCGCCCAACGACGGAGTGACCGCCATTACTCAGTGCTGGAAGGCACCGCTCTACTTGGTGTGTACCAACATATAAGGGCTGAGCAACGCACCAAGACTGTGGTCACTGACCGTGGTGCGGCGCTTAACAGACCTCGGCTACCGACAGCACTCCTTCGACCGCATGGTCTTCTTAAAGTTTGATGCCCAGGGCCAGTTGATTTCGATCATCATTGTCTACGTCGACGACTTCCTCGGCGCCCACCGCTCCGACTACGACGTGACGGAGGTCCACAAGGCCTTCAAGTGGGGGGCGTTCCAAAACTTCGAGGTCGGCAAGACAGTGACCTTTAAGGGGAAGCAGATCACTTTGAGGCAGCGCGCGAACCAACGCTACTACCTCCACGTGAGCCAGGTCGAGTTCATTGGTGGTATGGCCTCCGGCAAGATCCCACGGGGCAGCAACCTGGACGAGCCCCTCACTCCGGCTCAGCGAGCAGAGTTTCGCAGTGTGACTGGTTGCCTACAGTGGGTGGCCGGACAAAGCCGACCGGAGTTGTCGGCTGTTAACAGCCTCTCCAACCACGGAGGCGCTACAAGTGACCTCAAGGCACTCTACGAGGCCGTGGACTTCGCCGCTGCCACCAAGGAGAACGGCTTCGTGATCCCCGACATCCCGGTGACTAAGGCGAGCATCGTCATCACCTTCAGTGACGCAAGCTGGGCAAACGCTGAGAACTGTCGTTCTCAATGCGGTGTTTTGGTCTTACTTTGTGGGCCGAGCGTCCTCGAGAAACCTTCGCCAGCCATGCTGCTTGACTGGCGATCCAGCAGAACACAACGTGTATGCCGATCGACTCTCGCCGCCGAGGCTTCCGCAGCAGACGAAGGGTGCGACCGAGGAGCCTACGTGAACATGTTCCTCAGCGAGCTCCTCTTCAACGAGCCGGCACACAAAGTGACTCCGAGACTCAGCCAGCTAGCAGTTACAGACGCCAAGTCCTTGTACGACTGCGTCATCTCGGACAACCCAAACCTTACAGATAAACGGTCCCTAGTTAACGTACGTGCTATCCAGGAGGTGGTCCCCGGTAGCAACTTCCATTGGGTACCGACATTTCTCATGTGGGCTGACGGGTTGACGAAGGCGAGCAAGGAACTTCAGCAGTCCTTGCATGAGTGGCTTCAGTGCCCAAAAGTCACTCTTCGAGCACAGACTTCCTAAGGCCAAAGAAAATTTAGACCAGTGTGAATTTTGCGCATGCTTTCGCTGTCTTGATTGGCCATAGGAAGTGCGAGCCACGACTCGTGGCTGCTTTTCGGCCCGAAGTGGGCCCACCGAGCTTTGACCTTTTGCTGTGCGGGAAAACATGGAATGCGCCCCGCCTTGCTTTTGCTAAGAGAAGCAGAAGAAGTGCTTTGACCCTTCTGCAGGATGGTTCAGCTTCAGCCTGGCTGCCACGGGCTTTGCCCTCGCCGTGGCCCTTAGCTTGGTGGCGATCGGAGTCCGGCGCCGCCGAAACGATTTGGGAGATTACCGCCCATTGTGAGCAAAAGGGAGCTGGGCTAGACTCTCAGCAATGCGACAATGTGCATGATCCCACTCTGTAATTGGGTTGTTGAGCTGTCACCACTGCCGCATCCGTCCCGAACCCGTCGCTTAAAATGCGACGAATGCTCGGCCTTGCTGCGCCATTCGTTCTCAAGCGCGGTGGTAGACCCCGCACCGCATACCGCATACCGAACCCAACCTCCATCCCATCGCCACGGTCACTGTCAGAGATTATCTGTTTCCGGTGACACCATAGGCAGCTCTTTGGAACCAGAAAGAAGCCCTTGCATGCTGACTTCTCCATGATCTCGATGTTGCCTTTGCTGGGCGTCCTTGCCTTGCAAGCGATCCCACGTCAAGCCGCGGCTTTCAGCAGACCCAACTTCGTGAAGCTCGAGGCGGATCCAGGCCAGGCCCCACAAGAAAGTGCTTAACAGTAGACCTTTCAACGCTCCTCGGGCTTTCATGGAAAATTTCCAGTGGCTTTGGAACTGTGCGCATGCGCTCTCGGATCCGGGTCCCAAAAAACTCAAAATACCTTCTTCAAGCCCGTAAGGATACCCCCGACGGCCCCGACCCCGCATGCAGAGCCACAGGCCCAGGACCGATCACGCTGACGCCTTCACCAAAGCCGAGTCTCTCAGAGCCATTGCCGCCCCTCGGAGACGCAACTTTCTCTTCCTAGGACGCTAGGAATGCGCTCCTTTTGAATGTGATGCGCTCCCTTTTTGCGCAGAGCTCTGGCCGCGGGCTGGTTTCGTCGTTTGGCGGGCTGCTGTCTTCAGAGGATCGTCTTTGTGTACTCCTTTTTATGCCAATGCCAACGCTTTTGGTTCCACAGATACAACATGCGTTGATGGTCGGAGTCTGACTTTGGGCAGTATGGTGCTCCCTAAAGTCTGCAATCCTCAGTCCGGTTCTGCGTGTTAGGAAGAAAGCCACCAGACCCAACATAACAGCATAGCATGCAGGACTCTGGACTTGCCCTGGTTGCTTCTCCAAGCCATTAAACCCTCGACCGACAAAGCCCCTCGAGACCGAAAGCCCGCAAAGCAAAGGAACGATGTGCCCATCCTGCGGCCACTGCAGCAGTGGCCGGAGTGGAAGCGCTCCCATGCCCACCTCTGCTCACTGTTTCGTGGCCTCTGCATGGAGCACGACAGCGTCGCTTTCAAGGTTTCTGCCCTGCGAAATTAGGTTGACAACACACTCCTCGTTATTGCTTACCACTTCTGATGCAGACGGTGCCAGCACGACGACGCGGGGATGTCCAGTCCTTGTCTTCCTGAAACGAAAGTGATGACGACGCCTTTTAGAAACGAACATACGACTACGAGCACGCGGACTACAACTTCTACTGTTCATACAATAATAACAACTACTACTGGTCGACTTCTGCTACTTTCTCTACCGGTACAACTACCATTACCATTACGACTACGACGACGACCACTACTCCACTACTACTACGACTGTTACTGCTACTACTGCTGCTGCTATTGCAAGCTATTGCTGCTGCTGCTACTACTACTACCACCACGACTACAACTATCCCTACCGCCACCACTCCCACTGACTGCTACTACTGCCAGCACTGCCCTACCACGACTGCAGCCATGACAGTATCGTTGCGACGTACTTTCATGTTTCCACGATGCACGAGATTGAAAACGATTATCGAGAGAAAGTAGGAGCCAGTCAAGGCAATTCAGAGGCATCAAAGCGACAGAGCTCCCGAAATGAGCCATTGTCCTCCAGGTCTCCACCATGGCAATCTCGGACTTGTGGGAGAAGATGCTAGGCATCGGCTCGGGCTGGTTCGTGCTGGTCGTCCTTGCCTGCGCAGCCTCCGGCCTGTTGGGAGGCCGCAGGATGCCAGAGAGTCCGCAGGGCAAGCCATCTTCTGCCTCTGGAGAGAGAGGAAGCAGGGAAGGCACCTGTCACTTCGTCGATTGGTGGAGCGATGGTCCGCGGATTACGTTGGCATCCTTGAAAGTCTTTGTCACGGCGCTGCTTCTGGTGGAGCTCCTCGGCTTGGCCGCGCCAGAGGAGGACGTCCTCACCCTGCCTGAGATCATCCGCCGAGTCCGTGCTCACCCCTACGGAAAGACTGTTGAACTGGGCTTCCTTTCGGGCTTCACAGTGGCCGATTCACAGCTACTGCCCCGGCTGACTTACCTCTTCATGCCCAACCTCAACGACAGCACAGCTGACAGTTACGCCGCGGTGTTCTCCGTCCTGCGGGCCTCGCTGCTGGCGTCCTGGTGCACCTTCCTGGCGCTGCCCAGCGCTTCGTGGCCGGCGTCCTCTTGGCGCTGCTTCGTCTACGGCGCCTTTGTCTACGTGGCCATGGCGAGCCTGGGCACGCAGAATTTAGACTCTGCGAGTCGCCAGTAGACTTGCCCGGTTGCATCCCAACGTCCCCCTTCGTCGCCTCAGGAGCTTGGTCATCATGTACATCCCTTGCTACGACAGCCACGCCACCTGCTTCTTCCTTCTGGCAGCCTGCATGGTGCCGACCCAAAAGTCTACTGTGAGCTGCGAGCGGCTAGAGAGATAGAGACGAGAGAGAGCAGACGCCGAACCTCGTTTGTTCGCGGTCCTGTCAACTATATTTCACGCACACACAAACAAGAGCTATCTAAGGCCTGAAGGAGAATCTACTTCATGCTCGCAAAGGGAAACAGTGCTGACAAGACAACGCCCAGTTCCATTCCCCTTTCAAGACCCGAGTCTTCCTTTCAAGCCCTGAAGGTGCCGTCTTTGGAGACTAGCCAGCGGTCCCAAGCGTGGCTGGGGAAGCACCGCGGCACAAACGCAAATTTGTGGCTGAAGCGTGTAAGGATTCTTCTTTGGAGCTCTGTCTGGTCGCACGAGCTGCGGCACTTAGGGGCCATGCTCACGCTCGTATGGCGGAAGTTGTTCCTGCCCAGTTTCGCATGACGAAGAGAGTGGCCTGCAGCTCTTACAGCTGAGGTGTTGCTTTTAAGGATCAGGGCCAGACATGCAGCACGAGTGAAGCTCAACTGGCAGGTTCCTTCTGGTCAGCCTGCTGGCTCCGTTCTACCTGTCTGCAGGGGTGTCGAAGCTCCGCTATGGAGGACCCCGCGAGTTGCTGAAGCTTTGCGGTGCCGCGATTTTTCTCACCAGGGATTCCTGCAGTTCGTACGGAGTCGAAGGCAGGCCTCAAGATGTCGAGACTCAGGAATGCCTTCCAAGAGGTTGTGCGCCCAAGCAGAACATGATACACGTTCTTGGAAGTTCGAGGATGTCGGTTGGAAGTTTACAGCAAACAGACATGTATCCCACAAGTGTCCAGTTTTCCCTTCTTGTGCCAGCAAGGAATACCCACAGAAGTCCTTGGATATTTGCGTAGTCGCGGTTCACATGGCGATTTCTGATGTTGCGCGCCACCTTGTCGAGGTACAGTCACTATGTGAAAAATACATGTTCAAGTTCTGTAAAATTCCAAGAAGGCAAGGCGAGTAATTGTCCCCCATGCAGATAGTGACGGTGGGATTTTTGGGGCAATTGCCTGTGCAGTTCTGTCACGCCAAGCACTCGGCAGGCTGGGCCTCCATGCTGTCTGGGAGCTGGTTGAGGCCGACTCTGGCTGCGACGGTGGACAGGCAGAACAGGGTTTTCTGTCCTGGGCTGTGCTACGGTTGGCCTCGCCTGCTTCGGTTGTGCTCCTTGGTAGTTAAGCTTCGAATCTAAGCGACAAGATACTGTGGGATTTGTGACTAGTAGCCCAGCCCAATCAACGGCACAGAAGCATTCCCCATCCCATCGAAACGCTTTGGCTGGCCCCCACGCAAGCATAGACAAGCGCTGTCGTGGCAATGATTCTGATACCAGCGCTTGCGAGCTTGCTTGCTCTAAGCTGGCTAGCTCACCAATGACGTGCTAAGCTGGTGCTACGAAAAGCCTCCTACCGACCTATACTGATCGGGAGATGTCTGCGTCGCCGGAGTGCAGAAATCCCTTGACAGGTAAATTGCCTTTTATTTAGGTGCCGGGTGTTAAGGATCTTGGCATGACTTGGGTTGCGGCAACTGGACCACGCACAGGGGGTGTCAAATCGAGTGAGGGCCACACCAGGTGAGGCATTCGAAATCCCAAGACCACCCCAGATCCCCAAATGCTTGAGCCTCATGGCTGGTGATGGCGGAGGCACTATTGCTTCTACGGTTACCGTTGGCATGATCATCAGTAGTAGCATGTTGTAGTTTTGGCCAAGGCTGGTCACAGGCATTTTTCTGTAATGTCATTATGCAGAAGTGCTCGAAGCAGGTCTATCTTTCCAGGCTTGAACACGTGGCTCTCGCAGTCGACCTGGGCGCCCGCCATGATGTCCTTCGGAGCCTGGGTCGTCATTGAAAAGTAACTTTGGCGAGTGTTATCCCCGCAGAATCGGTCTAGTTGCAAAGATAACGCATACATATGTAGCGCATGTGCATGTATGCATATATATATATATATATGGTCATACCCCCCCCCAACCCCCCCATGATCCAGCCGAACCTTCTTATCAACTATTTCTGCGCAGTCTTGGGTCCCAAGATGCTTAGTCCTAGAGTCCGAATCTATCGGTTTTTACGGTGTGTTCAGCACTCCATGTACATGTATACCTGACTCCTTGTTCTTTTACATCATAGATAAACAAGCCGAAACCGAAAACCGGATTCTGGTTCTGGATTCTGGTTGTGCTGCTGCGCTCTTGTTCTACTGCTTCGAGCTCTTACAATCTGGCAAGGTCACAGTTTTAAATATTGATGTTTCGAAAAAAAGGTCTAGTCTCTCTCCATCATACTCCAAATACATTCGAGCATGCAAACGAATAACCAGACTCATTTGCGCAATACTAGCAGCAATAAAACCAAGGGAGTTGACCGCACAAGACATGAAATCGCTCCTGTCTTCTCGCCTAAGCCTCCTCCCATCTTCATCGAGTAAAAACGAAACTGTTCTGTCTCTCCGTATTCACAAGACAGCGAAGAGCTGAGGCTTTTAAAAACCATGGGCATAAAAAACCTGATAGGGGCCACGAACCCGAATGCAGACACGCGCAACGCGGATATCGTCATGAGCGGGCGGCCATGCGCAAGCGAAGTTTTGTGCTTAGTTTAAGAGAACGAGATTAGACTGTGAAATGTTCAAAGTACATTTTTGTATATATATATATATATGCACAGAGCTATACAATGTCACGTGGTAATCCTGAGATGCAATGTGACACGAGATATGAATCAACTAATTTACAAAGAGTCACCTAAATGCAAACAACATAATCCTGGACGCCTGATCAGCCACAGACATGAGACATGCCAGTCCTGAGTTGCGAGCAATATGAGATG